TCCCTGTGTAAGATCAAAGCAACAAAACCATAACAGGCAATGTGTGACCTCCACCACGCCACCAGAGACCAACTTTTCAACAGGGAGAAGAGTCAATAATCCAGAACAGAAAACATTAAATAATGAGAAATGCTTCCAAAGTGTGGCTCACCACATCCATCAGAACTGTCACAGAAAGATTTCAGAGCCTCTATGGTTTCCCAGAACAAACTTCTAGTGAGATTTGTAATGACAATCATTAAAAGCTGCATCATGTGCCAGAGGCAAAAACTAATTTCCCAAATACAAACAAAATGTCAAAAGATAGGAATAAAATAATTTTCTAAATTTCAATGGATATTTTAAAATGTCTAGTGGGAAAGGCAAAGATAATTAGATATTTTTTGCTTAGTATATTTTCAGCAATGTATTTGCAGACATGCAATATGTCCTAAGTTGTAATAGAGATAAGTACTGTAATTTCTCTTATTTAACCATCCTCATTTAATTTTCCTAAGAATGTTTGGAGAGTGAGCTATGAGCATTAATCAGTTAAATATAATTATTAATGATACATTAAAGACTTTTATGGTTTGCTTGTTTTGTTTGTGCTAATGGTGGATCATTAAATCCAGAAACAGGGTCCCCTAATAATGACTTAGGTAAGAATTTAAAAGATGCAAAGGAATAAAGAAATCTCTGCTTAAATAATAACAGCAAAATTCAAGTACATTTAAGATCAGCTTTTAAGAAGTACTGCAGGGGGCTGAAGAGATGGCTCAGCAGTTAGGAGTACTGGCTGCTCTTGCAGAGGACCCAGGTTCGAATCCCAGCACCCACAAGATGGCTAACAACCCTCCATAACTCCAGTTCCAGGGGATCCAATGCCTTCTTCTGACCTCCGCGGGTACTGCATGACATGGGTGCACCTACCTACATGCAGGCAATACACTCATCTACGTAAAAAAAAAGTACTGCAAATCAAATTGTGCTTTAGAATCAGCCAAATTTGACCATTTTTCTTACATTGTTAAACAGCTTCTTTTTTCAAATCAGATGAGAGTTGGGGGCTTTACAAATATACCTGAATTATGCAGCTTGTGAAACAATATAATTTGCTGTAATTCAGACAGCACTAAAAGTGGGAGACAACTTGAAAAAACACTGGACACTCAAAGCAAGTGAGCTTCCTGTCTTCCGGATTTGCTGTTCCTGCCTCTTGCACCTGCTCAGTCATCCTCCATCTTTCCATCTTATTGTATTAATGTTGCTAATTGTATTTATCAGTTTTGCCACAATTTCAATGCTGCTTAAACAGCTGTGGGTTTTCTCTAGGCAATTATCAGTCACTACACTTAGGCTTTCGAATTTGTTGAAAGGCTCTTTAACCTTAAGAAAGCAGGTCTTATGTTTATGTATATGTTCTTTTAATAGAATTACTGAGAAAAGGTGCCTGGCGTGGTGGCTCACACCTTTAATCCCAGCACTTGGGAGGCAGAGGCAGGCAGATCTCTGTGAGTTCAAGGCCAGCCTGGTCTACATAGTGAGTTCCAGGACAGCTGGGGCTACAGGGAGACCCTGTCTCAAAAAGACTAAAAAAAAAAGAATTACTGAGAAAGGATTAAAAAAAAAACACACATATGTAGTTAAGAACTATATTAATTCTAATTGTAGTAAGTTACAAACTAGCAACAATTGCTTAGCAAAGCCTATTATATACTCATTTTTTTATTACACATGATGTCATATACTCTTTCCTTCTATATATGTGTATTGCATAATGCATAAAGCACATTATAAAAATACTGCCAAATCCCTGCAACAGCCCTCTGTCATTACCTATGTGCAAGAGGCTAAGTCTTTATAGGTATTCACAGTCACCTAGTGGTCTCTTGAGGTCATGTACTGTGGCAAGCACACCTTTCACAACAGGCAAGTTCCCCACCCCTGCTTCTCCAACTCCTTTCAAAGAGAAAATTCTGTATTAGATTGCCTTTCTTTTTCAGTGTTGGAGAGAGAACCCAGGGCCTCACATATACTAGGCAAGTGCTCTACCACTGAGCTATACAATAGAACGTTTTTTATTCTTGACTCTGACATTGATTTTTTTTTCCCCCCTTCCTATTACAGAATATACAAGAAACACATTCGGAGAGAAGCAAGATTTATATTAGTCATCAGCTGACAGCCCTCTTCATCAACTATCAACAACTAAATTGAGAAGTCTGTAAGTCAGGGCTATAGCTCAGTGCTGGAGTGCTTGCCTTGCATTCATGAGTCCCTGGGTTCAATTTCTGGTACCACAAAGAAAAAAAAAAATCTGTAAGCTAGGAACATACTTCACATGTCACTTATAAATAACTTAAAAATAAATTCAGGGCTGGTGAGATGACTTAGTAGTTAAAGAGCACTGGCTACTCTTGCAGAGGACCTGGATTCAGTTCCCAGCACCCACATGTGCGCCAACAACTGTCTGTAACTCCAGTTCCAGGAATCCAACGCCCTCTTCTGGCTTCCATGGGCATTGCACACACATATATATTTATATACATGCAAGCAAATTTGGGGCTGGAGAGACGGCTCAGCAGTTAAGAATACTGACTGTTCTTGCAGAAGACCCAGGTTTGAATGACAGTACCCACATGGCAGCTAACAACTGTCTGTAACTCCAGTTCCAGGGGTGCACTTACCTACATGCAGGCAAATACATGCATACACATAAAATAAAAATAATAAATAAAATATTTTTTAAATAAAGTAAAAATTTAAAATTTTTTAAAAAATACATATTTTATTATTTTTAGTGTATGAGTGTATCGCCTACATGTAGGTAAGTATACCTGTGTCGTGCAATGCCTGCAGAGGACAGAAGAGGCTGTCAGATCCCCTGGGACTGGAGTTACAGACAGTTGTTAGCTGCCATGTGGCATGTGGGTGCTGGGATTTGAACCCAGGTCTTCTGCAAGAACAACCAGTGTTCTTAACCACTGAGCCATCTCTCCAGCCCAAATTTTTCAAAAATTCAAAGATAACATTGTAAAGTTAACAAGTTTTGGTGTTTTAAAAAGTTTAATAATAATCTGTGTGCATGTAAGGTCAAAAGCATTGTAGAACACACTGGGCAAGGTGGCACACGTCTCTAATCCCAGTACTCCAAAGCAGAGGCAGATGGATTTTTGTAAGATCAAGGCCAGTTCCAGGCCAGATGGGGCTAACAGGGAGACTTTTTCCCAGAAAGAAAAAGCATGTAGAAAAATTTTGAAATTTCAATTATAGGCTCAATCACTACCCTGGCATTCCTCTATCCCTTTTCTGTTCCAAGGGAAAGGTGATATTTCAATAGTGCAAAATTCTTCATTGAGACAGAAACATTAAAATGATAAACATTTTGGAAAGCAAAGTACACTTCAAATCCTAACTGTTCTTTCAGACCTATATTGACTCTTAGACTCCTTGCCAACATTTGGTAAGGATTAGCCTTCCATTAGACAAAAGCAAGCATTCCTGAGATAAATCAGGAGTTTTTGCCATGAGACTCATAAAACCTTTTCACAACACAGATTTTCAAGAGAATCCTTTAAGGTTTTAGGAGGCTGCTCCTTTTACTAAGTAACAAAATACACCCCATGGTGTCTCACTGACCCCACTCAGCTGTCCTTTGACCTCTTCAATTGTTGAAGCCTAACTCCAGGGCCACAGAGTTTGCCTCCCATATCAAAAAGGCTAATGTTGCTTCCTCCTCGCACCTGGTGAAACAAAATGCAACAGTTCTGGCTCTTTCTTCTGCCTCCTCCCCTCTCTCTGACCATTTTCCAGATGTTTCAGGCCCAAATGTTAAGCCAATACTAGGTTTCAGTGTCTCATGGTCACCATGAAGGCACACACAGGGACAAGGCTGAAGCAGCAATGACCCTCTTGTTCTTTCTGGCCTCAAAAGGATACGACAGATCATAAAAGAGGAAAAGATCTTTGGTCTCCCTTTAAAAATACCAGGCTATTTGAACACATTGGAACTTCCAGAGGGAGGGAGGGAGAAAGAGAGGGAGGGAGGGAGGGAGAGAGAGAAAGAATGAGATTGAGGTTATGTTTCTTCTAATAGCCAAGAGTTATCTAAAACAGTCACCCTAAATTCTCAATTCTCAACCCCTTGCTATGGGAGGAAAGGGAAGCAATGTCACTCTTCTTCCAGTCCAAAGTAAAGGCCTTCTAAAAATAGAATAAAACATAAACTCTTACAAAACCTCTATAATGCACATCTCAGAACAGTGTTATATGAAATAAAATTTAAATATCTACGGTTACTACTGTTTGAGTTTTTCTGTAGAAGCCAAGAGTCTCGAAGTCTCTCTTATCAGACAGTTTAGAAGAAAATTATAATCACCAAATGGGAATAAAAAAGTAAATTCTTGGGGGGGCTGGTGAGAGATGGATATATTGTATACATGTATGAAACTTTCAAAGAACAAAAAGAAAAAAACAAAAACAAATTCAGTCCAAAAAAGTAAATTCTTATTTTCTTTTTTAAAAAAAGATTTGTTTTTATTTACATGTATGTGTGCATGCCACACATGCGGGTGCACATGGAGGCCAGAAGGTGTCAGATAATGTGGAGCTGGAGGTACAGATGGAGCAGCCAACATGGGTGCTGGAGACTGAACTCAAGCTCAGGTCCTCTGGAAAAGCAATAAGTGTTGTTAACTGCTGAGCTATTTTTCCAGGCCCTGAATTCTTACTTTCTTAATTTAGGTATACAGAAAATACCTTAATATAGGTATGCAGAAAATAGGTATACAGAAAACTCCCAGAGAAAGATCCATTGATGAGTAAGTTTTATTGGGGGAGTAGGGAAGATGGGGGAATGGATAAGCGTCGGGGAGGGTCAAAGGACAGGAGTTTATCGAAATATCTGCTTAATCAGTTTAAGGACCAGACATAGTAGCTTTATTTAAATTGTAAATATAACTTCCCCAAACAAATTTGATCATGCAAAATTTGAGGAGAAGAATTTAATTGTACAATACCTTGGTTTATATATTAACATTTTTGAATCATGTTCATGGTTAAGTTTGGCAGTCAACACTTCAAGGAGTCTGTTGCCTAGATTCTAACTTGTTTAAGGCTTTTTTATACCTGTAAAAACAGAAAAATATATACATACATTAATTTCCAAGTGCCTTTTATAGTGTAATATAACAACATAAATACCTAAAATTTTCTAAAACTGTAGTTTGAAATGATCAGTCTTATCTAACTCTATATACATTACAAGGAGCAAATATACAGATGGTCCTCCTTCCTAAATAATCTTCAAATTTTCACTCTTAAATACATATTAAGAAATGATTCATGTTGTTCTTAAGATTCCCCCCTTCCAAAAGTAAGTTGAATAAGTTTGTTTTCACTGCATAATTGACAAGTATTACCATAATGGTAAAAGCACACAGATTTTTTTTTAATAGAAACTGAATTAACATAAGGTAATTTTCTTATTCTGAGGTGTTTGGGAATTTTATATTCTCTGATATTTGTCTCAAATTAATCTATTCAGAGAACTATAAAGAAGGTAAAACAAAACCAATACTGAGATGATATTTTTCTACTTTTAGGAATTCTTTAAAAACTCCCAAGAAGAAAGACTCCAAGAAGAAAAAGAGCTATTTCTTACCCTTTTGAGCAGAGTCTTTCTAGAAGATATTAATTACATTAATTATAATTCCTTACAGTTGGTAGAATAGTGTGCCTAGTATACTCTCCACTAAGTAGATTATGGTCAACACAAACTATTGCATAGAAATATAAAGTTGCAAAGCATGAAGTGAATAAAAACTGTCATTAATTTTCATACATAACTTAGAAGTATTTCTAACCCTTTTTTTAACTGTCTGAAAAAGGAAACAAGTTTTCTAAGAATGTACTAATTTCAATATGAACATTTACAGCACTAAAATACCTGAAGTGATGTTAACATGTTTTCTAAAAGAATTTATTTTTTTCGTTATTTTACTTTCCTTTTATGTCAATTTGAAAGAGAAAAAGAAGCATTTCAGATTTGGGGATAAAACTGTCTTAACCACTTACTATGGGAAGAACGCCTTCATGCAAAAGAATAATGAAAAACCCACATATTTCGCACCCACACATACACAAACAACATCCTTTTGGAATCAAGAGCTTGCTGGCTACCTACATCCAAACCCAAAATGACCCCATATGGTCAACAAGGTCAAACAGCATCACTGCCAATGAGAACTGTATGACTCCACAGGGACCTTGATGATTTTTAAAAAAGGTCAGTAATCCAATTCTAATAGCTTTGGAGTCTAAAATTGCTAATTTTTAGCCACGTGCTGCACACTTCACCTGCTAGTAATGACATTTTTGTATTTTCTTCTAATTACACTCAAAGCTAAGACCTTTGGCCCTGGGCCACAGACCCCTATTCAGGCTGCACACATTCTCTTAAACGACCTGATCCTTTGTTGTCACTCTTACTCTTTCATCTATTATTTACACCCATAGAGAAGGAAGATACTCCACCATTTGTACAGCTTAAAGCTTCTAACCATCTTAATTTCTTTGCCTTTCACCTTATGGTCCTTTTCATAGACAAATGCCAAAAAGTTTGACAAAATCATTTTTTTCTTTTCCAGTTACACTGCCCTCCTTTCCCCTCTTAAGACCCTAGCCAGCCTCCTGTCCTGTCCCTTGTCTTACACAGAAGGGACTTGGTATCCGTAAGGATTTACACATTATGACTTTCACCAACAGAATGAATACAAATCTGCAATGCCTTCTGACAGATCAATAAAAATTATGTATTTTCTTCCATCAAAGAGACCATGAAATGAAATTGGAGGTTACTTAAAATAACTTAGAATCTGCTCTCAGCCATCTTTAAGGCACAAGCATAGAGTTTTCAGCATGCCCCTGCAGAGTCAACAAAAAAGCACACAGAAAGCAGTGGGATGTTACTTATACCGTCGAAACTTTTCAAATGTTTTAATATCTACTATTTTTCAGATGTTTACCAAAAAGAGAAAAAAAGGAAGAAGAAAAAAAGAGATATCTAAGAACTCAATTTTTAGCTTAATCTTTAAAACATTTTAAAGTAACTAATTCTCCAACAAGCAAAACTCTCAATACACATATCTACCATGATCACTACTTCTCAACACTTTTGCCAGATTTGCACCCACAGACGCACACACAGTTTGGAAATCTGAAGCACAGAACTGTTACCACAATGTAGATCACGCCCTCAGATCACGATAATCACCGAAAGATTCTGGGTCCCAAGATGTTTATAAAATGACATCTGATCCATCCTTGCTCTCTCTTCCTCTGTCCAGCTTACTCTTGATTTCTGACAGTGTTTCCTTGTTGTCTGTCCCCTCTGCAGACCCTGAACCCCCTGTCTTTTCTTATTTTCACCATTTGCTTCAACCAGCAGTTCACTGGAGACCCATCCATCTTGTAACGCCTAAAGTGACAGATGCTCTCAGGAACAACCACACTGCTGAGTGAACAAAAGATAACATCGCCTCCAGGAACTCCAGAGAGAAATACAACTGCAACCTTAAGACAGGGTCTGACTTGACAGACATCGGACCATAAACCTCTTCTAAGCGAAAAAGAAAACAATTGCCACACACACACAAAAAATCTGACACAATCAAAGGCCCAAAAGAGTGATTATTTGTGGATTGCCTTTTCACTCTAACTCACTTTTCCCTCAGTGCTTTTATATTGGGGCAATTCACTTGCCAAGAGGCAAGGGAAGTTCTTGGGAAAAGGATCCTTTCTCAAGTATCCCTTTTTATTCAACAATATTCAAAGTGAAATTCATTCACATGTGTGCTACAGGAAATCTAAGGCTTCGATTCAGCACTCTTCGGCCTGACACTTCTTGTTTGCATAAAGCATTAGCTGTGCTTAGAAATGCTGACTCTGTTCTACTGCTGTGAAAGGAACATGCATGCTTTGCAAATTAAAAACACATTAAGCACATTAGAAATTAAAAAAGCAACATGTGACACAATGTCAACAATATGTGTAGCTCATAATAAAAAAGCTCACCATTCATTCATCAGACAAGCTCCAACTTGAGTTAAAGAGACAGTGAAGCCAGAGGACTCTGGGAAGGGCTGCAGATTTCTCTTCTAACAAAGGAAAGGTCATATGAGCATCGCCCAGCAACAAACTAAGGACAGGGAATCTGGGGATGCAGGGGCCTCTGTTGATGCCATCTAGGGCTTTGAGTTTTGTTGTTGTTTCAAATCTTATTTAAAATCATAATACAGAAACAGGAAATAAATACTTTTCTAACATTTAGATACCATGAGGGAAAGTTCTAAGGAATAAAAAAAAGCTAAAACCAACTGCAAGGTTCAGTTACAAACACTGTGATCAATGACAATTATAGAGTAAGAACATGCTCTTATGCTGTATATGTTATTACCAAAAAATGGACAAATAATACAAATATGTGTGCTACATCTAAAGACCCCGAAATACCCAAGAAAAGTTCCATCAACAATATTTCTATGAAATGTGCATGCATGCGTACACTTACATATATGCAGGTAAAACACTCATACACAAAAAAATAATAAAAATTAATTAAAAATAAGATTTCTATGAAATGTGTGAATTTGTTATGGTATTTGCTTAATAAAAATATTTTATTTTTTCTTTAAAATTTTTACATACAAAGCCTTTAAGTTATGCTAAAATTAAGATTTTGTTTTGTAATTGCCAATGAATCTTCTCATCCTTACAGTCCAAAAGTCATCGTGAAATTTAAAAGATATTTTTTCTACTATGTGTACGTTATTTGGTGATAAAAAAAAAAAACTCCATAAATTAACATTCTTATATCTCTTTTATTTCCTCAAACACTTGGCATATCTTTATAAATATCATAGTACAATTTTTCATAACTTCAGAATTTTCTGTTTTATTTTTAAGGCTGGCAATATAATATACACAAAATGATTAAATGAGCATGTACGTTTAGCTAACTCAATAGAAAATGATTAAACAATTATAGAATGCTTGTCCTTGTATAGAAAACTTGTTCTACAGTGAACTTGATTTTAAACCTAAGGACTAACATGCACTGGCTCAGCCTAATTCTCCCAAACCACCGAGCCAGCATCCTTTCTGCATCCTCAAGTTTGGGCATCAACACCAAGAGAGATGTGACCTTGAAATGACAGCACCGTTGCTAAAAGCTCCAAAAAGATCCAATTAAATTGTCCACTTATAAACACAATAGGATCAATATGCACGCATGGAAAGCACACCCCTGTGGAAAGTTCTTATTGCTTGACTGATCAAAAACAAAACAAAAACTTTTCTTTCTTTAAGAGCCTCTTCCAGATCACAGTCAGTGCCAGAAATCCACACAGGAAAAAAATCCATCAAAATGAAACCCTAAAAGGGTTTACCCTTCACCACCCTATTTGCACTTCAAAACCCTCCAGTCCTCCAGTTAAACTCCAGGGCTGAACCATTGCAATAGTAAGAGAGGTGGCCAGTGGTGATTTATCTTCCTTTTGGCTCTGGACAGAGCTGTAGTGTCTAGGAAGCTTGCCTTGCCTGACTGGAACCCTCCTCCAAATCTCCACCTTCACTTGTGCAGTCTTGGATTTGCAATACCTTACAAACAATGTTTAGGCTTCTTCTAATTTCATGCAAGAACCTTTGTAAGTCAAGAGTTGGGCACATTTTCTTGGTAGTGATTTCATGAAATGGAATGCTGCTGAGTAATCAGAGCATTGCAAACACCAGGTTAAACTGCAGGTTCCCTTTGTTCTAAGTTGAGGTAAAATAGAAACTTCCTATCTGTATCGCTTCTGTTTCACATTAAATGTCAGCAGAACTTCCTAAACTGTTCCCAATTTATACCTGCATATCTTTTACCTTTGGGCAACCTTAGCCAACTTCTACACTATGGTCTCAATCTAATTTGAATATATACACTGTAAAATGTTTTTTACAAATCCAAAAAGTAGGTATTTCATAGGTCACAAACTCCTGGGTCAAGTAGACCTAAAAACAGATACCAGATCATTATGACTCAACTGATTTTTTCCACTTTTGTATCAAATATGCATCACAACTGTCAT